AAATAATATTGGTCAATCACCTAAGAACTTCTTGGCCATGAACCTTGATAAGCTCTTATGATAGAGTTGATCCAATGGTTTTCTCACATTTCTTGCCTGAACCTTAATAAGCTCTTATGATAGAGTTGATCCAATGGCTTTCTCACATTTCTCGCTCCATAGTTGCGAACAACAAGAATTGATTAACTGGGAATTGATTCATTGGGAATTCTTGTCCCCTGTAGATGCCTCTCTTGGGTGAACACTGATTAGCTGGTTTGATTGTTTTCTTAAATTTAGGCTCGAAGAAAAGCTCCATTTAGATGAGGTGAATGATGTTGTGGGGGATTGAGATTCAAAGCCTGGGTTTATTATAAGAAATTCTCCGTGTAAAAGGCGCAATCGCCTATCCTTTAACTCGTAGTTTCATGTTCATGTTTAGCCAAGCTTTTTGTGGTTCTTCTATTTGGTAATTTAATCTTATATATTCAATAAGTTGTGTGTTTGAAATCTTTAAATACTGTGTGTTTTATTGGAAGCTATAAACATCAAGATTTACACCTTACTTGGGCACAAATTAGAGAAATAGCTTGAATGACTAATATACTTCATTGAAACCATGAATATTTTCTGTATACACTTTACATATACATATAATATGGTATGTAATACAATTACATTCTTATTGAGTTCATATAACATTTTGTATTAGTGAAATATGTTGGTAATAATGGTAAAATCCAAAACCTAATTCTCCTTATTGAAATTTAAGAGAAAAAAAAAAAACATTTATCTTTTTCACTTAAAATTAATCTTTAATTAACTACATAATTAATTACCAAACTATCCAGAAAATCAAGCATACCCACAAGTTCCAAACTCACATCTAACCCCAGACTCACACTTCTTACTGCATTTTCCACAATGATTAGCATTGCTAACAACATTAGTGCAAGCTCCACGGCAGCAACGCTCTCCAAACTTGCACTTCTTCCCGCAACGCCCGCAATTGTTCATGTCCCCGAGAACGTTCCGACAATGTTTCTTGCAGCAGTTCAATATGCTCGTACCATTATTGGCCGATATTCCATTACATATGTTGTTACTTATTCGATTGCAACGAGTTCCTTTCTTGATTACCGTTTTGCTTGCTAAAAATCGGCTCCTTGATGGTAAACTGCCAACTATCGGAGCATCAATAACGTAGACAACTTGATCATCGTCTTCTTCGATGCTGTTGGAGAATGTTGCCGCTGCTCCTTGAAGGTGGAGAGTTACTACAAGAGAGGAGAGAATTATAAGGGCGAAGAGGGTCAGAGAAGAAGAATAAGAAGAAGAAGAAGAAGAAGCAGCAGCAGCAGCGGCAGCCATTTTTGTTTTTCTCTCTAGTGTATCTCTAGCAATAGAATTAACATGTTGATGATATTTAAAAAGGTGTAATTAGTGGGTGTATAATATGTGTATATATATATATATATATATATAAATTCATAATGTTAGGAGATGGCAATTGATTGATGCTGCTCTGAGTTTTCACAACACTCCAAGTTGCTTGTTCTACTTGACCATATGCTATTGGTAATTAGGCAGGCGGTAATCTTGATTATCAATTAATTAATATTAATTAATCGTGGTTAATTAAAATTTAATAGAAAAAATAGCCTTGCAAATAAAGGTATTGACGTAAAATTTTTGTATTAATACAATTAAGAAGTAAGTCCTCTATTCTCGCCATGAAATTCGTTTGGGTCCTGCTTATCCGCACTGGATCCTGCCCCGGTTAACCCGCGCAGAAACACGTGGCAAAAATCTTGTGCGGTTGAACCCAGTTTTCCTCGTTTCTAATAAACAAATCGCAGCCGCACAAAAAAACAAGATGTTGACGTTGACCTCACCATATGACCAACAGGGATTGCGGGTAATTTGACCAATTAAATATTAAGAGTGGTTTAATTAGCTATATTTAATAGAAATTTATATTAAATATTATTTATACATTAGTAATAATATAATTAATAATACTTCACGAAAATACATGTAAAATATATAGATTTATAATAAAAAAATAATATTATTCTTCAAAAGATTAGCTCAAAATCTAATATTAATTTCAATTATTTTTTAGTTTATGTGATATATTTTGTAAATGAAAACTATTAATTATATATGATGTATACGAAAACTATATCACTATATATCTATTAATTATATATAATTTTTTCGTTGTAATTCTAATCCTAAGATACAAAGTTTATGAGCATTCTTGAATTTATAAGATTTATTTATGGAGGGTGAAGAAGTATTTATTTAACTCAAATGCTAAATATATTATATAATATTATGTATGATATTTATACACAAGTGTACGGCCCCGGAAATATTAAATGAATGAGTATT